TTTTTTTTTGTTGTTTGAAAAATATAGTTGTGGATTCGTTAAATCTGGCTTGAAACAAATTATTTATAATAATCTTTCTTTGTTTTACATTTATATTTGTTATCATTTCCTCATTTCTAAATATGATTTAGTTTTTTCCAAATATGGTCACCCAAATTATAAAGGCGACCAAATGGGATCAGCTGTTTTCGCTATCGCTATAATTCTGTTTAAGTAGGCGAAATAGCTGGGCGAACGGTGAACGACAGCATCGCGCAATTCGGCGAAGTTTGCCGTTCGCCGGTATTGTATTTCAAGCATAAATTCCGTAAACGTAACGATTGTATGAGTTTTTACTTCTATGCGTAAATAGTTGCGTTCCAGGTGCTCACGTTTTTTTGCAGGAAAGCGTTCCAGGTGCCAAACAAAACATGTACGTCAAACCACTTTTGTGAGAGTAACTTGCTCTCCCTCTCAGTCAGAAGTTGCAGGTTTTAGTCCGAAGTTTTTCATCCTGCAAGTTCATGAAAAGTGTCAAACGACAGGCAGGGTTGCATTTGTAAACAAAAAAACCTTAAGCGCCACGGAGACAATCAAATAAATACGTCAAGCATTGCATATGTATGAGATTGGCCCGCAAACGTTCAAATAAACTCGTCAATTAAACAAACAATTTATTTTTCTGGTCCGCGCACTTGCTCACCACGACGATCAGAAGGCAAGTGCACTTGTTTTTTGTCAAGCATAACGCGAGACGGTTGATAAAGATATTTGATCGTCTCCATGGCACTTCACATTTAAAAAAAAAATCGAAGTAGTTACATGAAAAGTGGTTTTTCGCGTTCCAGGTCACCTTTATTGTTTCGCTCTCGCTCCTCTCTTTCAAAGAGTAATTTTGTTATTTGACAGTTTTACAGGTTTTCCACGAAGTTATCTGGAACGCAACTAATGTCAGTAGCGCGCGTGGCTATACGCATGCTATGGAGGTCCGCCTTAAGTCTCTAACCGATTCGCGCAAAAGCAAAACAAAAAACAGCTGATTTTGGCAAGTTAAAGAAGGGTATGAAAAAACAACCGTCCTTATCGCGCATTGGCAGGGGTGAGTGCTGTCGAAAAATATAAAGTTTTGTTATTTTTTGTTTATTTGTTTTTTGTCTGTAGCTAAATTTATTAATCGCAGATTTTTTTTTGGATATTTGGAGTTCGTGCAGCAGAGCGGAGCAGCAAAGCCAATGGTAAGTGCACACAATCGCTATCAATGTGGCTGTGGTCAGGGACGTGCCGGGTCTAACGTTACATTGCTGTGCCTAGAATTTATTTTTACTCGTAAAAAACCTCGTGCACATTCAATAATCACAATTGTGTTTCTATGTCATTAATTAGTGCAATCAACGCTAGCAAATCGACGTCTGCTAATTGCATACAGCTGTAAAACTTTAACACACCGGATTCTAGCAATTCGTCCAACGATTACACTGCTCCCGATTTGAGAAGATGCTACCCGCTACAATCTTCCGTCAAGTGCAATGCACTCGTAATGGCCTGAGTAAGAATCTTACAGATTTGGTAATCGGCTTAAGCACAGCTGGGCCGCCCGCAAATGGTGTAAACTGTTTGAATCGTTATGCAGCCGCAACAGGCTTCATACGAATCTCATTTCTGGATTTTAATCAGCACCGTAATTGGGATATCGCGAGATTGCGTCAGTATGCCGATACAAAGAAGAAATCATTGCATTTAAGAACATTGCAGGGCCGCCATATATTGCAGGATGTGATAGACAAAAAGTGTGAAAGTTTTATTGAACGAAAGAATGTGCTGGTGGAAGATATACGTGGTGCGCGGCACAAAGTGCAAGAGCGCGTACGCGAAAGAATGGAAGAGGTCATTGAGCGTGAAAATATATTGACTATACCGAATATGCTGACTGTAGGAAGAGCTTTTTTGTCACCTTACATTGGATATGTTATAGTGCAACAGGATTTTCGACTGGCTATGGGATTACTGGTGGTAGCGGGTATCACGGATTTGGTAAGCACAAATATTTTGTTTTTAAATAAAATTGCGTTTCAATAAATCAATTTAATCTCTTTAAAGTTGGATGGTCAAATTGCTAGAAGGTGGCCAAATCAAGCAAGCAAGGCGGGATCGTTCCTAGATCCAATGGCTGATAAATTGCTTATTGGATCGTTAGTCATATCAATGGGTGTGGGCGAGTTGTTGCCGTGGTGGCTGGCTGGCACTGTACTCTTTCGCGATGTCTTCCTACTCGCCGCAGGCTTTGTCATACGGTACATCAGTTTGCCACCACCAGTGAGTAAAAACTTGTATATATATTTTGTACTTATAAACTTGGTGATGCATTTTAACGATGGTCAACAGAAAACTTTTACTCGCTACTTTGATGCTACTTATGTAACTGCCCAATTGGAACCCACGCTCATTAGTAAGATCAATACCGGAGTGCAATTAGCTACTATTGGTATCAGCTTGGGAGCTCCAATATGGAATTATATCGGTAAGCGATAACTTTAAATATCCGAACTAGTTTTGCTAATGCAGACGACTTTTCTATTGCAGACCATCCCGTGCTGCATGGGCTCTGGTATTTGACTGGTGCTACAACTGTGGCTGCCGCTCTCAGTTATATACTGAACAAAAATACATTTAAGATTATCACAAAGCGAAGGAATAATTCGTAGATGTATCGAACATTGCCGAGCGGATGCATGTAGTTATATATATTTTCATATACTATTTTTATGAAGATAACCAAAAACACCAAAATTTAACAAAAAGTTTTGCTGCCATGCCTTATAAAATATTGCAAAGGGTTTTTAACTTTAATAATTATTTTAATTGCGCTATTAAAATCGTAGTGCCCTGTTGAATTGAACTGGCAAGCTTTAATTAATGTTAATAATTTAAAATGTTTTCCGTTTATTCTATTTATTTCACTTTGTAGACTCATGCGTCATCAATGTGATAATTTTATTTCCTTTTTAAGAAAAACTAAAGGCCACACTCAAATGATTTCCATTATATCAAACTATAAATCAATTTTTAAATTAAATGAAGTTGAAATTTTTATTTAAATAGCTTTTTTTATTTTCAATTTATTACCATGCTTCAAAGAAATACACATTTACCACGCAACAGGTATTGTTCGTTATTTTTGAGCAGGAAAATAATGAATAAAATCGGTGTTTTATTGTGAAGTTGATGATAGAAATTATTAACTCTTCACGTTGTAAGATTCTGCAAAACAAATTCCCCATAAACGTGGTTTGCATTGTTTTCACGTTCGAATTCACTTTCCTTTCTTCTGCTCTGCAGCTTCAGCCTTTTCCAGTTTCCTTGCTCGGTTACCAATTATCCAAAAATATAGCGAAGGAAATAAATAACGAGCGTAATATGCTAATTTTGCTTGCGAGTCGGAAATCATTACATCTTTTTCCTTACCAACAATAGCATTCAAAATACGATCAGCTACCTTTTCTGGCAGCATACCAGATGCAGTAGTTTTATCCATTTCTGAAAGTAAGAATCGCAGACGTACATACATATACATACAGTTTCTACATCGGAAATATATAAAACTGGCAAATAAGTACACAACCATATTACATACTTCCATAAGTTTTTCCACTGCCTGTTAGCGCATTCACAGACAATTGTGTTCGTATATATCCTGGACTAATGCATGTCACCTGTACCCCCTTATCAACTACCTCAGACCTCAACGAGTCCGAAAAAGCTTGTAGAGCATGTTTAGAAGCTGAATAGGCCGAACGATAGG